TTTAATTCAGTGTAAGACACCTGTGCCTGAATGAGTAATGATAAATTTCAAAATATTTTTGCAGCAGATGTTATCAAGTTATTCTCCAGTATTACATCAATTACCCATTCTCTCTAGAAATGCATTTTTTTTCCAAAAAAAAAAAATAAGCATGGGAAATGGTCATCCTTCATAGGCACAGGTTTTGACAAGAATTTTCATTACATAGTCAACAAATATTTGTTGAGAACCTGTTTTGAGCTGGAAATACAGATGGAAAACAAATTATGTTTTTATTTTAACTGAGTGTTTTTCCCCTGGTGATGCTGAGCTAGACCCTGCTGGTGGATGGAAGGGCGGAGAGAAGACATAGTGGGGGATGCACTGAAGCTTTCAGGTTCCAGGTCTGAATAAGTTCAAAGTATTTAAGTTTACCAGTACCACCTAAAGCAGCTGCCCAAAATACCTGTCAACTCACAGCAACAAAATGTATTAATTCCTCAGAAGAAAAGGTGAATGTAATTTTGCCTGATGTTCATAGAGGTTCACAATGGGTTTTTTGGCTTGTTTTGGTTTTGTTTTGATTTGTTTCATAGGTCAAGGAATGTGTTTGGGATTTTCCAGACAGAGTGGTACTTCTCCAGTCTTTAATTCTGTTTTAAAATAAGAAAACTGCCTTTTATATTACTGTCAAACACGAAGCAGAATCGTCTTTGTGCTGATAGAAATAGTCACTCAGCAAAGGTCACACCTGCTTAAGAACCACTGTGAAGGTGTCTGAAACAGTGCTCACTCGGGGCTGAGGACACTCTGACCACCCTCCCCTTAGCCAGATCATCAGCCTGTTCCCAGAGTGGGCTTTCTTCCCCCCCGGAAACAGGCCTAGTATTTTCTAGCTGGAACACTTCACAGAGAGCTGGCGCTTCTGGCTTCTATTCCCAGCTGCACCATCAGATCCTGGACTGACCTTCTGTAAGCGAACTTCTCTGCAGTGATGTGGAGATGGTTACCCTTGTGCAGGGAAGCGTTAGGGTGCATGGTTAATGTTTGCTGTGAGCAACTTGCCTGAAAGGTTGCATGCTCTTTGAGAGAGGGAGGTTAGTGCATGATGTCATTGCTTCCAAAATATGCTCAGATGTTTTAAAAAAAGAAGGGATGATAAAGAAAGCAATACTGTTTTCTTGGAGGGTGTTGTCAGGGATTGAAGAAGGGGTGCACAGATAAGTAGGTGGCGGGTTGTTTTCCTACCATAAAGCACAACTTTTGCATCCTGTCACTCTAACGAGTGGAATTTAAGGGATATTTCCAGCAAGGTGTGATGTACACTGGAAGTGTTTGATGAAGGAACATGGGGAAGTGATTGGGGACGTGGAAGTATGGACTTGATTTGAACCCTTGGATGAAAATCCTCTCTTCTGGGTTGTTTCCATGACTTGTAATATTACAGTGATGACATTTGCATTCTCCAGCTCAGGATTAGCTAGAGAGGAAGTCAGGGCTCAGTTCAATTGCTTTAGTGAGCCCATAAACCATGACCTCTCCTGGAAGATAATTCTAATTAAAGGATAGTAAACCCTGAGTCCATTTGCCTCTCAACATGGGCAACAGAATTACACACAGTTGTGACATTTGCCTGAACATGAAGAGGAAACTTTTCTTCATCGTTGTCCACATCCTGGTTTCGAGTTGAAAGAAGTCATAATTTTCACATGGTGATGTCAGATCCATTCCCACAACAGAGATTAGACAATACCACAAACACGGATTTATGGTTTCATGGGAGAAATCTCCTGTTTTCAAACATTTATCTTTAACAATAGGCTACTGGCAGGGAAGGAAGGCCACCAGTTGGACATGAAAGGTATGGTAATTTGTTGTCAGTGATGAACAGACAGACGCTGGTTGCTGCTTTTGTCCCCGCTGCCACTCGTGACCTCCACTTCTTGGGCATGTTGGACATTAGCCATCACAGATTGAGTGCACATAAGGCCAGTGGCGTCATAGCTCATTTGTGTAAGAGAATTATCAAGTGTTCTTCACAGGTAATAAGGTAAAATACCTTATTCCTATCAAGGTAATCTCTATATTCAGAACTAAAGGAATCTTTTTAGAAAATACTCAATAGTTGAAGTAACTGAAACAAAGCATTGCTTCACTTTCCTCCTCTGTAAAAAGATGAGACTTGACTAAAACACTGAAACTCCTAGTTTTAAAATCATTCCATTTTACAATTTTTTAACTTACTAAAAGTTATAGATTTTCAAATAGTATCATGACACTGAACTTAGTAATTTCAGAATAAATTACTTAAAAAACTACCCCCAACTTAGCATTTTATGGAGATTTAGTGCTTATTTTGTTTGTTTATTTCTTTCAGTGCTATCTTGTTCCAAAAAAGGACTTAAGGGGATTTGTAAATGTGCATGCAGTATAGTGAGATGAAATAAATACATGATAGAAGTAAGGCAAAGAAAAACTAAGGAGTGGAATTAGAGAGAGCATGGTGTTAACACATTTATAAAGTTCACTTCATTTCCTGGAGATGAGTCTCACATTTAGACCTCAGCTTTCCAAAAGCCCAAATGAAATGGGAAAACAGTACCGATGATAGATTTTAGTTTCTTTAGAGCAGCATGTCATCTGAGTACACTTAAGCGTCCCTTAGACCCTTCAGGGGGCTGCAGAGTGAAACTATTTTCATAATAAAACAAAAACTGTATTTGCCTTTTGGATCTCATTCTCTTCTTGATCGCACAGTGGAGTTTTCCAATGGCCACATGACCATCATTCTGATGGTGCCGTTACTCCGAAGGCTAATGGAAGGTGTGCTTGTATATGCATGCATTTAAAGAGTTTTTGCTTCAATTCCTAATACGGTAAATATTCACAGATACATTCCACATAAACAAAAGCACTTTGGAGGTCCTCAAACGTTTTTAAAGTATAAAATAGTCCAGAGAATGGCTACTGTTAAATATGAACAATTTTGTTTTCACTTCCCTATATTAAAACCTAAAAATTATCTTTCATAGAAGTTTAATATTCTGTGAAAGATAATTTCAGTTATTCTGTCTCATGGGCAAATGAATAGTTTTCAGGTTATTTGTGATATACTGTAATCGTCAGGAGAGTAATAGATCTTATTGGTCTCTTGTTTTGAGAGGATAGGTCAAAGCTCCCTTGAGAAACTGTTGAAAGCCATGAACCCTCCCAACTAAACACAACAGATGCACAAAATTTTGCGAAGAATTTTATAAGGTTTTTGAACACCCTGAAGTCTGTCTGTTAACACCATAGAGTTCTAACAACTCCTGTGCGAGGACACAGAAAGAAACCCAGAAATCCTGGTTTCTTGTAACTGATATCTTAAAATTGCTTTAAAGTACAGTTTTAAGGTAAATTTGGACAAGAAGATAAAGAGAAGCTTAATGAATATTGTGTGCATTTCTTTTCTCTCTTAATTCCTTTTTCTCCCCACAGAATAAATTAAGGTGAAGTATTTCTGGTTATACTGTAACTCATTCTTCACCAGAAAGGCATGTTGTTTCTGCTCAGATGGGGTGAATGGAAGCTTTTGTGAGCTCAGCTTTCCTTCCTTAGATCCTAAAAAGAATAACCTCAATTACACAACATAAATCCATTTCCTTGGGATATTCTGATGATTTCAAAAATAGAAATGCTCAAATCTCATAGATTTTAAAAACTTGGCTACATGCAGCTAGGTGAGCTGATGTAGGATGGTAGAGACTCGTGAGGACTGTTTAGTTCCAACAACAGCTTCTGAATTTGTGAAGATGTATTTATTGAGTGCCTCCCATATAACAGACCTGGGCACCGTAGGGACTGTGTGAGGACGGTATGACATTTGGCCAAGTCTCAACTAATGTATAAGACATACTTCCTATATGAATGGACATTTTATATGTGGGAGATAGTGTAACATGATCAAGCAGAATGGTTAGAAAGAATGTTTCTAAATTCAGAAATCTTAGTGTGTGATAGCATTTACTGGCTGTATGGCTTGAGCAGATATTTTAATCTGATCTATTGAATTGGCATAAAGACCATACCTGATGCATAGGGTCATTGTGAGAATTAAATTTATTAATGCATATAAAGTACAGAGGAGTGTGAGTCATGTAACAAGTGCTCAGTAAATGTTATTACAGAAAGTGCTGCGGGATGTGATGCAATGAAAAATGCAATATGAATTTGGAGAAGGAAAGGATCACCAGGGGTCAGAGGGGTCTAAACAAGAGTTCATGGAGGAGGTAAGACTTCAGCTGTGGGTCTCCTAAGCAGAGCGGGGAGTTATAAAGTTCTTGGTGCACCATAAATTTAAAATCTAATGGAGGAGAGAGGATCAGCCCCAATACGTATAAGCATAAGTGTCAGAAACATGGAAAGAATGCTCAGGTCTCTAGAGACATCCCTAGAAGTGCTAAAACACAGGCAAGTGAAAAGGATAAAGAGTGGGTGTGAGTTATTACAATGATTGGAATAGAGTTAAGTATATTGCAACTACTTACGGGACCAGATTGTTCCATTCATCCCTCCCAAATTAAATTTCACTTTTCTCGTAGGAATCTTTTGTGGTTAATGGTTCCAAAGGGAGGATTTGTCTTTTATTGTATTTATTTCTGAGGAAACACACCTTATTCACACAGAAAATACATACACACGTACACCCACAGCCCCAAAAATGAAGCACCGAAACTATGTGCCTTTTAAGACATTTATGACTTTTGTCTCTTCATTGAACAAATTAAAAAAAAAAGATTATGGAAGGAAATTTGGAAAAGGCTCACATACATGTGCATGTTAATGAAAAAAGATATCTCTATAGAAGAATTTCAAAAATACTTTGAAGTAATAGCTTTGCCGATTTTTTAAATAATGGTCATAATATATCCTGGCTTTATTAGTACTCTTGTCCTGATCAAGAAGCCCCGTTACTCTAATTAAAATAACACCATCTGGTTTTAATACCTCACAGCAACTCTCCTACCCCTTAATCCTAGGGCTGAAGCAACATTCACAGTCTGGATCATGCGGAGGCCACGCGGTATTAGCTTACTTGCTCTGCAGTTTATGGATTTGGCGCTGGAGAAGCCTGAGAGATAGTGGTGCTGGAGACTGGGAAAAAAATAGAGGATCCAGAAGAAAGAACAAGATACTAGAGTTGTGTGCACGCATGTGAGATCCTCCTCTCAGAATGGAGACCTGCAGCTTCCAGAGAGAAGACCTTTTTGAAAGGAGAGCTTTGTTGGACCTCTGTGAATTAAGGAAGCAAGCCATGTGAAGTTCAGGTCAGGTGTGTGTCTGGAAACTATACTAGGCAAAAGGACTGAAGGAAGGATGAGTTTGGTGAGAACAACCTTGGTAAGTTCAAGGAACAGAAAAAAAAAGCTTGAGTGGAGTGGGAGCAGGGGAGAGAGATGGGAGATGGGGTCAAGAGGCTGGGCAGAGGCCACATCACATGGGAGTTAGAGGCAATTCTGAGGGTAGTGGGAGACTGGAGTTATCTGTACCAGAGCAATGTGTGATATTTCATTTTTTTCTTAGTGAACAATAAGAAAAAAAATCCCAAGCTCAATTAAAAAACAAAAATAGCAACTGAAACTCAGATCCGGGGGTGGCGGGAATTGGAAAGAATAAGAGCACTCCCGCTCCCTTAGTCAGCAGCTGATGGGCAGAAATGCAGGCCCAGTGTCCCCTGCAGTTCAGGGTGCTGTGTTTTGTTTTTCAAGAGAATGGAGATCTGGATTTTTATGTAAGAACTTTCCATTTTCTGAATGCTAGCAAATAATACAAATTTTCCAAAAATCAGTATCCAAGCCATTACCCTAAATTCAAATGGTTAATAGACAACACTAAACATACTTGGAAGCTAGATGAAGCCCTGGCCTTGATAATTTGCCATCTTTATGATGTTATATCTTGACTTTCATAGACTGAAGGAGAACAGTGAAAAGGAAAAGCAGATTAACAGTTGGACCTAGGGCAGGTATCAGTCAGGGTCCTGGCAGGAAGCAGATGGCAGGCAGAGACAGGTCACTGAGAAGAGATGGATGAAGTACTATTTGCAATGGTGTAGGCAGTGTCAGGAAGAAGCGACGAGGAGTACTGATATGCTCAGGGCTAGGATCAGCAAGAGTTAGCATCGCCACTCCTGGAGGAGTCATTGCTCAACCCTGGAGAGCAGTTGGAGGAAGGGTGCTCATCCCTGTCTGTGGCCTTTGGTGGAGGAATACCGCCACCACCAGACACTGCCACACCCACCAGACACTGCCACACCCACCAGACACTGCCACATCATGTCAAGAGCCAAGAAGAGATTTATTCTGAGCCTTTTGTTCTCATTCCCAGATCTTCCTCAGTTGTCTCCCTGTGGCCAAACCCAACAAGCAGCCCGAGATATAAGGAGCACACTGACCACAGTTGATATTGTTCAGTTTCCTGGGACATAGGAGGGCAAAGGAAGACCATCCAGCACAGCCAGGTACTTTTTTTTTAAAGTTGTTTCAAATACTTTACAACCTTTAGTAATTATATAAATCCAATAAGCAATTAAAATCTTTCCAACTTAGGATATGGAAACCAGTTACAAACTAAAAGTTGTGGCTTATTTTTAACTAGCAAATTGTGGTCATTATATAGAGTCATTAAACAAAATCTGAACTCGCAGTCAGCCTCATTTTCCTCTTTAAGGAGCCAACCATAGTGAATGAATGAAAAAAATGAATGGATAGATGGCATCTGGAAAGCACTGTTTGTAATATAAGAAATCATCATTCCCCCAGAAGCGGACCCATTCTCTAGGCCACTTCGGCAAAGCAACAAGACATATAGCACCATTTTAAAAGATTACATAAAAGAACTTGACTTACAAGTAAAGCACACTGGTCATAATTTGGACGAATCTCCACCTTCACTTCCTCTGGCCCCCAGCTCAGTGACATTGGGAAGTTATTTTTTTCAGTTTGTATTTCCATTTCCCTGACAGGATGATTGAACATTTTTTTAAATGTACACAAAGAGTGTTCTACACTTTTGCATCATGTTTAGTAATTCTGTGTGCTATCTAAATAGAATGTTTTGGTAAGCAGTATAGATGAGAGTACAAGTTCAGTGGAATCTTACACTGATTTTTTACAAATTGACAAGATGTTCAAAGAAATGATGGTTAATTTTCTGATTTGAATTCTGTTTCACAGCAGAATGTGAGATGGGCTGGGATGGCGATTCAATGGCAGTTTTAGCTTGTTAGTCACACCAAAGCTGATTCCAGCCATATACTCTCCAGGTCCTGCTTTGAAAACTCCCATTCCTGCTTTCCATTCTTGTTGGGAAATTTTGAGCTTTGATTTTGGTTGTCCTTTCAGTTGTCCACTTATCAAATGATAGAGTGTTTATTTTAAGCTTTATAAACTGTTACATACCTATAAGCTGTTCTTGCTACCGTTGTCCACAATACTAACTAGGCAATTTGTCCCCTGAAAAGAAAGCAGCGGCTGGGAACATGTGCTGGGAGAGAATGCTGGATTCTCCGGTTAGCCCTGACCCCAGCGCTGACTACTGCGCTTTCAGGGGTAAAATAAGGCGATGTAGGAAAGGAAGGTAGACAGTGTTAGGAACATAAGTACATCCAGCTTCCAAGTGTGTTTAGTGTTGTCTATTAACCACTTGTTGATAGTGTGCTGGCTTGGATACTGATTTTAGGAAAATTTGTATTATTTGCTAGCATTTAGAAAATGGAACGTTCTTACATAAAAATCTGGATTTCCAGATTCTCTTTGTAACTGCTTTCCATATCCTAAGTTGGAAAGATTTTAATTGCTCATTGGATTTATAAAATAAGGCAACTGCTTTAGGAAGTACTCAGCAAATCCTGGAGTGAAGAAGTGGGTATGAAAACCAGTCTTTAGCTCAGCTCTGATACTGCTGGGCTCTGTGACAGCAGGCAAGCTACAGAATCCCCAGTAATCCTAAAAGGGGTTGCTATTTCCAAATGGAGACAGCACAGGCTAAGTGATAAGGGTTCACAGTCTGGCCTCAGAGTCACGGTTTCAAATCCTGGCTCCACTCCTCTTCGCTGTAGAGTAGTTGCTGGAAAGAATGACAAGAGATGCTGGAGGGGCATCACTAAGTCAGCACCTGGTCTGTGGTCAACATTCAAAAGAGACAGGAGTTACAAGCATGTTGTGATGAACAAAGTATAGAAATACACTTGATGGCTTTTCTGAGGCAAAGTAAAAAGTGCTATATAAATAGTAATGATTATCATCACTATTGTGTATGTATCCCAAGGGAGAGCCCTTATGAACATTCTTCTTTGCCAGTAGACGATGAGCTAAGAGCTGGATTCTTGGTCAGATGACCTGAAGAATCAGAAAGGAATGTTGGACTAGCACAGTGTTCCTTTTGGATAGTCGCTAAGTCATTGGTTTTCCTGTGAAGCCCCCACCCGTAACAGCCAGTTTTGACCTGATCCATCCTTCTCTCTAAGTACTCCCTTTGATTTGTTTCAAGGCTACCAGAACAAAAGATTTTCCAAGGGTCACATGTCCCCTGCTCCCTGAACATTTGCTTGAATTGCCTCTGCCCTTCTGTCTCTTCCAGAGGGCTGCTCTC